ATGGAAATAAAGCTATTTCAACTGTCAAAAAAAAAAAAAAAAGATAATATTTTTTTAAAATTAGCTACTGCTTTTTGTGTTCTTTAAAGATCATTTTTAACATAATGATAAGGTATGGTTAGATCACTGTATTGCTCACACCCTTTTTACTGGTAATTGCAAAAACAATATTCACAGAGTTTTACGTTTCAAAAGCTATGATTCTGGCAGCATGGTACTTTGGTACATCGTTACTCGTTTTCCCAAATGTACTAACAGACCAGTTCGGGGTGGGTTGGGGGTGTCACCATCATTCACAACTTTCCGGTCACTTTAGGTTTAGGTCAATTATCCTACTCAGCGTATACCTAGTTGTGACATTAATGTCGCTCTACACAATAGCCTGTCCCGTTTTAGGTGTTGAGGTGGGGGGGGGGGGGGGGGAATAACCAACTCAGAGTGAACATAGCGTCAGATTTTAGATGACTGTTCTAAGCATACATATACAATTATACTGATTCAGAAATAGATTTAAATAAGTAACAGCGGTATTATGACTGTAATTTTTTTACAGAGGGGTCCATTGGGGGGGGGGGGGGGGGGGGTTGTAACCCCCACCCCCTTGCCTACGCCACTGTCTCTCAGCCTCAAGATATTTCTCTAGAAAAAATAATAAAAGCAAACTGTCAAAATGGCAACTAGACTTCAATACATTAGACATAATTTTAGGTTAACCTTATTATTTGTGTAGCTTTAGGGATAGGCCTACATCTATCACCCGCTGAACTACACAATTTCTCCGTTGCTGGTTTTGCATCTCGCACTTTACACCCTTAGCAGTAAAAATACAAGAAAATCACGAAAGAATTGTCACCTTGAACTTGAACATCTACAATGCTCGTGTAGAAAAATTGTATCGTTAGCAGACATGCCTACCCCTGTCAGCCAAAAGTAGGAACAGTTATGCCTAAAAAGAGGAATTTGAAGCCAAAAAGAGGAACATACGCGCGGACGCAACTTTATTAAGTCAAAAATAAAAATAATTAATTAAAAATTACTCTAATGACATTAGTAGGCTTCTAGTCCTATATATTTAGTCTCTAGGAGTAGGATACATTTAAATACTGCTTAATGTCAGCTTACATTTTAAAAAATAAATTAACCAGTAAACCCCCCCCCCAACCCGAATAAAAAATCATAGCTTTGACATTACATTATTGATTTGATTATTTATGTCTTGCTATGTTCTAGGCTATATGAAGGCTGAAGGCTTCATCATATGTAATATATTATAATATAAGTTATGAAAAAGACACTTGATCTACCTAGTAAAACTCCTAGTTACTTCTTACTAAGTTCTTCATAATAGTAGTTACTAGTTAAGTTAAACTTACAAGATAGATCAGTATTCACTATTTCAGTATCTACTAGTAGATCTAGTTACAATTCTAGATCTAGTAGTAGTAGATATACTACTAACTAGATCTAGTATTCGATGATACTGGTAAATATTGTAAGATTGTAAGTAAAAAGAAACGTGTGCCAAAGGGAGATAATCGCTTTTTCCTGACATTTTTTAAAATTTACTTTATTACCTTTCTTTATTAATTAAAAAAAAATCGGAACCAACTAAGTTAATTTCGGAATGACGGAACAAATTACTTTTTTAGGTGAAAAAGCGGGACAGTAGGCATGTCTGCGTTAGCCAACAATAGACCCCCACGGTGAAGTCCTCGAATATTCCATTCATTTAATTTTTTTTTAATAGATAAAAATAAATGAATAAAAATGTCATTATTTGGTTTTTGTCGGAATTTACTAAATATATGACGTTCATTATTTTACATTTTTAAAAGTATTTTAGTTATCTAATAAATTTTTTTTTTTTTTTAAAAAAGCTAAAAAAAAAACAATTAGGTTTTTCCTCGTCTTCACGTGGTGATTTAGACCAAAAAAAAAAGACATTCTGCCGTTCAATATGCATATATTATTGGCAAATAACGTACAATCGCAGTGAAGTAATATTTTTGTTATATTAATATTAGCAGCAACAGGCGCGATACTTTTAAAACATTGACCCGTAAAATACTTTAATCTAGATCACGGGTTCCCAACCTGGGGGTCGCGACCCCCCTGGGGGTCGCGAAGGGCTTTCTGGGGGGTCGCCAACTGGTATACTAAACCTCAGTAATTTGAAACAAAACATAAATATTTAGACGAATTTTTTAAAATTCGGCTTTACTAACATCACTGGAAAGGGAATAGAGAAGAAGCAAAGCGTAATGTGCAAAGTTGTTCTCAGTCACGAGTTTATGAAATCTTCAAAACTAAAACGAGTCATTCGAAACACAACAAAAAAGATATGGAGTTCTTTCGTCGGTATGAAGCTAGTTGCAAACGTCAGAGACTTGATCGAACAGAAAGTTTTCACCAAGGAAACACAGCATTAGTGCAAAGCATCACATGAAGTCGCGACAGAAAATCCCAAGCAAAAACAAACACAATAGGAGAAAATCTCATCAAACGCTGCATGTTGAAGATGGCGAAGTTAATTCTTACATGTCCGTAGATGTTAAATAACACATTTTTATTGATTATTGAAATTAAGCTTTCACCATTGTTTGCTTTTCATGTTGATAAATTAACTGGTCTTTGTCTATATTCATTCAGATGATAGCAAAGAAGAGTTGCTCTTTTTAACCCATTTTAATCATCCAATTTTAAAAAAAACTATTTATTTTCTCCATGCTGTGAGGGTTTGTACGGATGGTGCACCATCTATGTTTAGGTCAAAATCGGGCTTTCAGAAAGCAGAAAATATTTAGCTCCCTAACCACTGCCCTCACCAATCGCCATCAAGACTCCATTGCTGGTATAAGTGGTAAATTATATAAAATCTGGAGCCTTCAAAGAAGTGAGAAAAGACCTGAATAAAGATCACGAGGTTCTGCTCTTCTACACTACAGTGCGCTGGCTGTAAAACGAATTGTTGTGAATCGTGTTTTTTAATTGAAATCTGAAATCAAATTGTTCTTGGAAATGCAAAGGAAACAAGACCTTTTGGTATACTTAAAACGACATAGAGTGGTTGGAGAGAGTATCATACCTAGCAGATGTGTTCGAACATCAACATAAGCATAACCTGAAGCTTCGGGGAAAATGAACGAATATTATCACTTTCCATGATTATCGCGGGGCATTTTTATCAAAGCTGCAAAATCGGCGAAGAAAATAAATCTTGGAAATATTGTAAATTTGAGAAACTCTGCAGTGTGGTAGATGAATCTAATTGTGAGATAATTAAAATTTTGAAATAAGAGATTTCTGGGCATCTTGAATCAAGTGAAAACGAACTGCAGCACTATTTCTCTGAGCTGAAAAAAAATCTGCATTTACGTATTACCCATTCTCTTCTTTCCTCGATGTTGCCGGCAGATGAATTCTTTGATTTGTAGAATGATTTCGCGTAAGATAAAAAACTGCACACTCAATTTTGGTGTAGTATTCACCATTCATACCCAAACGTAAAATTGATTGACTTTTCGAGAATAGATTTTCAACACTATTTTTCGATTAAAAACAAAATTAAGATAATGATAATGACATGAGTTGGCGTTAGCAAAAAAAAATACTTTAAAAAAAAATTAACCGCGAATGTTTAGTCAATAGTATGCAATTTTACTCATGGTATTAAAACAGTTATCATATTGAAAGTCTACTAGAAAATGTTATTTTAGTGCTTATTAATTTCCATACTAATTTCGGCTTTTTAATTCTATGGGGGTCGCGGGTCACTTAATTTTTATAAAAGGGGGTCGCCACTCGAAAAAGGTTGGGAACCACTGATCTAGATAGTTCCAGTTTTCATAAAATTTTAAATGCAATTTTCATTAACTGGTAGGTCTCTAAGATATCGCATTTTTAGCGCAATTTCCATTCTGGAGAATTGCGTTTATTAACCCGTCATTTCTGGATGTATGGATGGATGGATGGATGTGTGTCCGCAGCTTTAAGTCGTATCTCCTCCTCAACGAAGCAATATCGATGACTAGTTCCAAAAGCAATTATGTTAAGCAAGTTACGAGGATGAACATAGGCCATAAAAATTACGGGTTTCTTTCATGGATTTCCCAGAAAAGCCAAAAAACCTCGAAAAAAGGCAGTTTTTGGCCCATATCTCGGCAACCAGACCACTTAGCGAATTGAAACATGTACCAATCGATTCCTGTCATAATTTAGAACAATATTGCCGAAGAAAGTTTTCAAAAATATCCTTTCGTTCGGTCACAAAAAAAATTTTGAATTAATTAAAATTTGGACCGAATTAGTAGGCATTTTTTCCAACCACACCACACGCGTCATCACGTTCAATAGCTAGGCGCGCAATGGTGTTTAGTTATGTAACTCTATTGTAAATAAAACATGTAAAATACTGAAAAAAAAATTAATATAAAACGTTTTAATAACTAACCAATGGTTTTACTAACCCTGCTCTTGATTTACGCTACGACAGAGCTATTTTTAGATAACATAAGGAAATTGCGCTTAAATTGTCACAAGACTTTTTAATTACCTTGTTTAAATATATACAAAAAATAATGAATATTTTTTTATTTATACAAATATTGCCCATTCACACACAATGGCGTAGCCAGTAGAGTGTTAGGGTGTTGAAAGCCCTACTCTAAAATGGATCCCAAAATGAAAATTGTCCCACCTAGCAATTAGCGATGATGAGCTCCTATATTAACTATTACAAAATATTTTAAGCCCAAAAAACAATGTTAAGTTCTTAAAATCGTTATGGAATCTACAAAACTCCACAGTAAGTGAATCTTCGTCAATGCCTTTAAGAACACCAGGCAAAAACTCTACAGTATTTGGGTTGTAGCATGCTAGTATGTTTTCATTGACTTCTAACTTTGGCCTTCGCTACAAAATCATGGAAACCGCTGAGGTTAAGGTTAATAGCACAGGAAATACGCAAGTCACGCAGCTAAAATGCCTCACTATTTTGCCCATTTTATAATGTCGTCTCTGAAGTGATAATCTTTTAAAATTATAATTACTATTGTATTATTTATAAACAAATAATAACATATTCTCCGGTTCTATAAATAAAGTCAACATTTTTGTTACGTGATGTTTGTAACTTGAAAGGAAGACATTTAGTTTAAATTACTATTTGTACTAGATCTATTTGTACTCACAATTAGTTATTTTGGTAAGTTTTGCTCTAATTTATCGATATTTTTATTCTTTGCCTCCCCGTTCTATAACTAAATCAATTCGTCTAATAATAAATAATATATTTGGAAGAAAGAAAATAACTTTTTATCGTTGACTCTTGTCAATGTCGTCCTCGTGTTTTTTGCTTCTATATGACATATGTACAACTAATTAAATTGCAATTCATACTTGAAATTGTATTTAAAATTTTAGGCGTTGTTTTACAAAAACTATCTTCGAAAAATACATTATTTCGCAATATAGATCAATTTAGGTACATTTTTAATTTGGGAATTTAACAAAATGGTAGCATCCTGGCATTTGTTTCTAAATTTATTACAGAACGAACACGTAAACTAGGTTTTCCCCTAGAAGTATCGGAAAATCCTCAAATGAAATAATGGCGGGACTCGAAAAACTATTGACTAGACCATTTCCACCATGAATGTCTTGCAATAACAGACAAAGATTAAACATTCTAATTATGCAATGATTTAGTAGTGATCATAAATGTAATTTTAAAGGAACTAAGTAAATACGACAAAAATTGTCGTAGATCTAGATTCTAGCTAGACTAGATTCTAGACCTTAAAATTTAAAAATGTTGCCGCCAAAGTGTAAATATAATTTAATATAAATGAGATAAGGTTCATGTTCTAACACTTAACACTAACTAAAACATGTTTCTAATTTATGACCGACTAAAAATGTCACGGCACATTAGAGACAAATTAACTAATTCCCAACAGAACGAAAAAACCTCGAGTGAAATAAATCATTTTACTTTAGCCAACATTGACTTTTATCGAAACATGGTGTTACACCTATGAACCAACACAACACTGAACCCGGCTCTCTGATAGGCTACTGCCTCGCTCTCGCTTGCTAAAAAAACTGCGCGGGCCTGGTGCTAGTAGCCTACTGGTGACAAGTATCACGAATGATTTAGCGGTTCCCAAACAATATTTCTGTGACTTAGGTATTGAATTATTTTTTTAAATTTATTCTGGTGATAATTTCCATTAGCGGAAAAAATAAACCGGGAGTGATCTCCCCTAAACTTTCTCGAATATTCTAATATAAAACTACGAGGGATGGCAACTCAGGACATAGACAATATTTGTAATCCATTTTTAATTACTTAAACTTTTTATAATAGAACGCAATCTCGTAAAAAAATAATTGCACACCAAGTGAACGCCTAATAAAATGTGCATAATAGTGCGCAATATTATGAGTAGGCCCCTACTTTATAAATTTACATGCGTTTTTTGAGAAATCGGAAATAGCATAAATTACTACTTCCGGTCAACGGAAATTACTCAAAATGTGACAGAAGGTAGAGATTTAGATATTTTACTTACATGTGAAATTTCATTTATCTATCTGAAATAGTACTCAAATTATAGGCTTTTGAAAAATTCAAAGTAGGAAAAGTACCACTTCCGGTTATCGGAAATCGCTCAAAAGTTGATCAGGATCTACGATTTTGATAAAATACTTATATATGAAATTTCATCAACCTAGCTGTAACGGTACTCAAGTTATCGTGTTAACACACACAGACAGACACACAGGCATACGGACAAGATTGCAAAATTATGTTTTTCCGTATCAGTGAGGTGTAAAACGTCGAGATTTGTAAAAATCTCTATTTTTTTTTTGCCCGATTACAAGACTTTCTCTATACTTCGTATATACGAGAAAGTAAAAACTAAATCGTTCTCCCCTTCTGAATTTTGGCTCTTATATATATATATATATATATATATATATATATATATATATATATATATATATATATATATATATATATATATATATATATATATATAGGCCTAAACAGTGGTACCTCGAGATGCGAGTTTGATTTGTTCTGTAAAATTGCTCGCATCGATATTAATTGAAATTCCATTAATCCGTTCCAGCCTGCAAAATACCACTTTCAGTACTAAAAGTTTTTTTTATACATAACAAATATCATTTGATAACATAATAAACGATAATACTAAGAAATAAACTGGTTTTATAAAGCATACTTATCTTGAAAATCAGCCGACTTGAGCTAACGGGAGAGCTTGTGGAGGTGTAAACTCAGTACTGGGCGGAGGAGCTTCACTTCGTTCACTAATTGACTTTTAATGCTGAACTCTTTCTGTCCCTTTTATTCACTTACCAATTACACTTTTAAAGCTTCACTTGATCCCTAAACTTAACGGAACTTAAACTTCACCGAACGCAATTGAACCTAAGTGAACCTTATGTTTTGTTACTTTCGCTTTTTTTTTTCGCCACTACTTTTTAGTGCAATGTCCATACTGGACAATTGCGATTATTAACTCGTCATTTCTGGATGGATGTGTGTCGCAATGGATGGATGTGTGTCCGCAGCTTTAAGTCGTATCTCCTCCTCAACGAAGCAATATCGAGGACTAGTTCCAAAGCAAATATGTTAAGCAAGTTCCGAGGATGATTGTGGGCCAAAAAACTTCCCGGAATTCCTTCCTGGATTTCCCGGAAAAGCCGAAAAACCTCGGAAAAATGTAGTTTTTGGCCCATATGTCGGCAACCAGACCACGTAGCGACTTGAAACATTCACCAATCGATTCCTGCCATAATTTAGAACAACATTGCCGAAGAAAGTTTTCAAAAATATCATTTGGTTTGGTCACAAAAAATTAATTTAGGAAATTGCGCTTAAATTGTCACTAGACTTTTTATTAACTTGTTTTCTTTGCCGATCTTTGCTTTTTTTTTCGCCACGCTTTCATGACACGCGGGCCGTTAAAATGAATCTGTCACAAGATGTTTGTTTTGTCTACCCTTTCAGAATGTTTCTTCAAGGAGTAAGTAAGTGTCATTAAACAGCTCCCCATGCATATTCAGGTGAAACTTTTTCGCTGCGTTTCTTTTCCACGAACTGCTAAATCTGCTAATCCAGTTGTTCGTACCTCAAATTTTGCTCGCATGTCAAAGCAAACTTTAGCTCACTTAACAGCTCGTATATATATATATATATATATATATATATATATATATATATATATATATATATATATATATATATATATATATATATATATATATATATATATATATATATATATATATATATATATTCGTATGTCGGAGCACTCGTACGTATGTCGAGGTACCACTGTAGTTGAATATATTATATTTTCAGGTATCGTCTATAGATGGGAAGAGCAAGTGCATCTAACTGTTACGATTGGTTAAGGTTAGTTTATCGTTTATCTTTATCAAGTTTTTACTCCAACAATTGTTCATTTTTGGTTTAGTGTATATTTTATTATTTTAAATGAATAAAACATTGTTGTGATAGAGCATTTTACGATTTTTAAATTGGACGTCACCTTCAGTATTCAGTAGGCCTATATGGTGACACCCGGTGAGGATTTCACCCTCGCCCACGCCTTGTAACGCTACTGCTAACTCGTAGGCTGTTGTATAATAGTAGTTTTTGATATGGCACTCCCTGTGGAAATGTGCCATAAAAGTGGTAGGAGTGTTTGTGACAAAACCGCCCATTTTTTCCCCGAGAAAACTGCAAAACTGCAGCTAAAATGAGATTTTAATTTGTTTTTCCAACCCATTTTGGCGCACCCTAAGGTCGGCGCTCGGGGACATATGTACTCCCCCCCCCCCCCCGCTACGCCTCTGTAAAGTTTTTCGTTTTTTTTAAAGATAGATCTGTAAAACGGAAATAACCGTTAATATTTGGCATTCGTATACTTGAAAGCATGTCGGCACGTGTAGTAAAACCGGTAAGTTTATGACTGAAACAGTTTGGAACAAGACACATTTTCTTCGTAAGTAAGTGTCCTTCTAAAACGTTAATAATCAGGCCTACCATTAATTTTTGCTGTATGAACTTGGTTGGTGGCTGAACTATATATAAATACAGATTTCATGCTAGATCTAGATCTCAAAAGATCCGCACAAAATAATACAAATATAAAGAAATATTAACAGCTCACATAGCCTACATTATCATAAAATTTACCACTGTGCATCCTATTTCTTAATGTTTTCTTACATTTTGCAAATTATGTCCCAATATATATATATATATATATATATATATATATATATATATATATATATATATATATATATATATATGGGGGGGGGGGGTGGGGGGGTGGGAGGGGGAGAAGAGATATCTGTCTAAGTGCTTAGCACAATTGGGGACCAGCTAACACTCACCACCAGTAGTGAACATTGCTTAATGAAACTGCTAATAAGAGAAATTAGAACCAGATTGTGTTATGGTTTTTGAGAGAGGTAGTTAATACAAATGTTATATAATGTGATTGTGCTGGCAGACCAGAACCAGAACACGTAATTTTTTTTTTAAATTAGTGCTCCGCGCAGTGCCGTTTTAAGGTCTTCGTAGGGCCTAAGCACTTTTTGTATTCGTAAGCCCAACTGACAACTTCGTGGTTTTTTAATGAATACTCTTAAAATTCATGGTGTAGATATTGAAAATTGCAGATCACAATTATACGATAATGCCAGCTTTATTAGTGGCATTTATTCCGGTGTCTAAGCTAGATTTATAGCCGAATGAGTCCCATGCCCTGCCCGGGAACAGGGCATTTCCCCCCTGTCAATTACCCCCCCCCCCCGGACATTACCCACAGAGTAATTACCCCCCTGTCAATTACCCCCCCCCCCCCCCGCCCAGTAGGACATTACCCCCCCCCCCCCCGGACACGGTTAGAGTTAGGGTTAGGTTTAGGGTTAGGGTTAGGGTTAGGACTAGGGTTAGGGTTAGGTTTAGGGCTAGGTTTAGGGCTAGGGCTAGGGCTATGGTTAGGGTTAGGGCTATGATTAGGGTTAGGGTTAGAGCTAGTGTTAGGGTTAGAGCTAGTGTTAGGATTGTGTCTAGCGTTGGTTTTGGTTTTGTGTGAAGTTTTAGGCTACGGTGGATGCTTAGGTTTTGGTCTTTTTCTTAAGGTTTGGATTAAAGTAGTATATTATTATAGAATTCTAGTTAGAGTTAGGATTCTAACTTGAGAGGGGGGGGGGTGGGTAATTCCCCGGGGGGGGGGGGAATAGACAGGGGGGTAATTGCTCCGGGGGGTAAATACGGGGGGGGGGGGGGGGTAGTGTCGGGGGGGGGGGGGGGGTAAATTCCGGGGGGGGTAATGTCCTGTAGCCGCCCTGCCCATGACTTAATTATTCACATACAGTGGAATGCTGTTTAACAGCGGTGAATTACTTTTTACTTTCTCGTATATACGAAGTATAGAGAAAGTATTGTAATCGTGCACAAAAATAACGTGTAATTTTGACAGTTTTCACCGTTTTACTCCTTAGTCCTTCATCACACCCGGAGTATAGAGGACTTATTTTAATCAGGCAAAAATTATAAATATAAATATATAAACATTTTGGCGTTTTATGCGTTATCGAGTCGTAAAAACTGGACTTTGCAATTCTGTCCGTATGTCTGTGTGTGTGTGTCTGTGTGTAAACACGATAACTTGAGTACCGTTACAGCTAGGTTGATGAAATTTCATATATAAGTATTTTATCAAAATCGTAGATACTGATCAACTTTTAAGCGATTTCCGATAACCGGAAGTGGTACTTTTTCTACTTTGAATTTTTCAAAAGCCTATAACTTGAGTACTATTTCAGATAGATAAATGAAATTTCACATGTAAGTAAAATATCTAATTCTCTACCTTCTGTCAAATTTTGAGTAATTTCCGTTGGTTGAAAGTACTAATTTACGCTATTTCCGATTTCTCAAAAAACGAATGTAAATTTATAAAGTACTAATAATATTCCGCACTATTATGCACGTTTTATTTGGCGTTCACAGGTGTGCAATTCTTTTTTTTTCTACGAGATTTTATTCTATTTTTAAAAGTTTAAGTATTTAAAATGGATTATAATTCATGTCTATATCCCGAGTTCCCATCCCCTGTTTTTTTTATAAAAGAATATTCGAGAAAGTTTAGGGGAGATCGCTCCCGGTTTATTTATTGTTCGGCCAGTCTTCACATTCTTCTCTGCATCGCGGCAGTGATGGACACAATTTAAAGACAGCATGGAGAACAACACTTTCGTTCTGCGGTCTATCACCAACTAGGTGGTCTGCAATGAGTGATGCTACTTAATTAATTAATTACAAATTATTTAAAGATTTGCTAAGTATTGACCGATATTGTTGAAAGCGAACGTCAACCTCAGCGAGCTGCTCATGAAGCAAAATGAATCATGTGAAATGTAGACCATTTTGAGACAGCGTTAATTTTGACTTGCACTGTTATCTCAAATGTCAAATGGGAATCTTCTAAAATGTCTATGGGCAATATATAATTGTCTTAAGTTTTGACAAGTTGATTCTGCACTGCATGAGTATATATATATATATATATATATATATATATATATATATATATATATATATATATATATATATATATATATATATATATATATATATATATATATATATATGTATGTATATATATATATATATATATATATATATATATATATATATATATATATATATATATATATATATATATATATATGTATATACCAAAGATATATTTCCAGCGTTTGATTCCACTTAACCTGAACCTGTAATTGGTATATTGAATGTTTAATCAAATTATTACCAAACCAAAAAAATATATTTTTTTTTGTTAAATTAAAAAAATTATTAAAATGTATAGACACAACAGATTCAAGTCATGAATTAATTGTTTCAAATGTATGGCAACTTATTTCATGATCGACAAAAAAAAAAAAAAAAAAAAAAAAAAAAAAAAAAAAAAACGTGAAAAGGAGTCAGTGTGACAACCTGGCCAGTTAACTTTTGCTCGCTTGTTATTTTTATGCTTTTCATTATTCATCTTTTTAGTTGTTTTTTTTTATCTTTATTTATTTACAATGAATAAATATTTTACATAAGCTATATCTTTTTGTCCCTCCCACCCTATTTTGTCAGGAATCTTCAATTTGTACTGAAAAGACTTTTACTTCAATTAATCATTCACTGAACTGGCAAAAAGCATTTTTCTTCTATATATTTTATAATTTTAGTCTCGGTGTCATCCCCTTAAATGGTGTCACCCGGTGCATTCCGCCCCCCCCCCCCCCCGCCTCCGCCTCGCGACGCCTCTGATAAATACTCATGACCACGAAACAAATGAGTGCGTTTTTTCAAACATAGCTATTTTTTTTTTCAAACTGAGAGGTCTCAAAGATATTTTTAAAATTTTAAAATACGTGCTGCCCTCATTATTAACCTCAATCATTTCAAATGCTAGAAATCAATGTATAGCTTTTCACTCATTTGTTTCATTGTCATTAATATTTTAAAATCAGTAAATTCAAAGCATTTTTGTTGTTTTTAATTATAATTTAAATGGTATGTTTAAAAATTGTAAATATTCATTTGGTCGCTCTATTATTTATTTTCCTATACTTTAAAACTAGACGTCGTTCGTGTAGGGCCTATGTGGCATATATTAAATTATAGGCATACGAATTTTAAATGGTAATCGACAGTTGAATAGCAATGTGAACTGTGAACTAACTAAACTGATGCATAATTAATATTATTTATTTAAAAATTACTAGATCTATTAATTAGACTAGTATAGATTTAATTAGAGCGCATAACGATAATTGATCAGTTTATCAGAGTTTCTTCCAGGCATCTCTACAGGGGGGGGGGGGCTGAGCTACTCCCCCCTTCCCCGAAGAAAGTCTACGCCCCCCCCCCCAACAAAATGAAATTGATATAGAAAATATATACTTTTACCAGTATCCGCCCTCCCCGGAAATTGTTGACCGCCCCCCTAAAACATCAACCGTAACACGGAAAGAGAATTTTTCCACATGAAAGAAACTTATCCAAAAACATAGTATAGATCTAGATATCTATATCTGTAGAATCTATCTGGAGTCGGTATAACCTTAGTTTAGCGTCGGTTATTATTCCGGAATCGTATAGCAGTAAAAAAAAAAAACAAGAAAACATTGACGAAGTCTGTCACACAGTTCCGGAATCCACCGGAAGTACTGTAAACCATTCTTTATTTGGCGTCATCGTTTATTTTTATACAGAATGTTTAAAATTTGGATAGATTTATTTTAATTGCGTATTAAATACTGTTTTATTAATTATTTTGTATTACTAGTTATTTTTAAGTGTTTCAGCTGAATATTTCTGCTACTAAACATTGT